CTAGGAAAATATTGGGAATAAATTATTATCTAGAGCCAGCGGCAAAGGAATATATTCAAAAGTGCAAGAGGCTAGAAACAAGAAAAATCCAGAGCCCCCACATTATACAAATATAAAGGAAGAAGGGTCATCCAGAAAATTGACATATAAAGAATGCTTAACAAAGGGATTAGACCCCTTAGATAGTGAATATATTGATTTAAAGATAAATGAAAAAATTGCAGAAGTCTCGACTCAGTGAAAGAAAGATTTAAAGGAAGAAATTTTCAAAGAATTAAAGCAAGAATTAAATGAAAATTTTGAAGCTCTGAAGAAAGCATATGATGAGAAATTTGAAATAGCCTTTTCTGATGATGACACTATGGATATCGGTGGTCATGGGCAACCAGACGAATAGTTATTATATATAAAGACCTCATTGATAAGGTATTATCAATTATACGGGCATGGTAGACCATATATCTATATCTGTTGAAAATAAAAATAAGATTACAAAGGTCTGTCGTTATATCATTTTCTTCAAGAGAAGACGTTCAAAATTTTGTGGAGAATATTCCAAAGTTCAATAATTACCAAAGAGCATCAAATATGGTAAATATTCTCTCATATAATCTAAACTAGCATGAATGCAGAAGACAACAAGTCACAATATGCTAAAGGTAAAAATCCAACTTCTCGGGAATAAACAGAGCACTCGTGATCAGAAGAAGACATATAACTCTCTGAAGAACCCATGATGCCACAGTATGATAAAAAAATATATGAGTGAAGATTGAGCTCCCTCTCCGGCTTCTATAAAAGGGGAAGTTGGTGAAACAGAAGGATACCAAGAGGCAGCAACCCTCAGCCAGAGTCTCAGAAGCCACTCTCTAAGCTTTAGTAGTAGAAATTTATTAAGAGTTCGCCTTGCTAGTATATTGAAGCAAGGAGTGCAATATAAATTGTGTAAGGTAAGCAAACCTTGTTTGTATCATCATCCCTCGGGGTTCCCGAAAAGGAAAACCATATGTATTCTATTTTGTGGTAATATAGTAGTTTTATTAAGCTTTCCTTGCTCGACCTGTTCTGCTTATGTGAGTTTAAATTCTACGCTAAGGACCCTATAGGAGAGATGCTCTTCAGTAAGTTCTCGTAGTCCACCTTGCATGCAGCAGGTAAAGAGAACCTTTATCTGTTGAAGAAGTGTTCCCTTCGGGTGAAACTGCCTTGGGAGACGGTAGAATTTTTATCTCATATGAATAGACCCAAGAACGGGATTAGGGTAAAAGCTTAAGCTACTCCTTCAACCAAATAGTTAAGACATATGGTGAGTACAGAGAGGATTACACATCTATCATTGCACACTCGGCTGTCCCGGTGGTTTCACCAACCCATTAAGATCCTGAAAATTTAAAAAATACTCCCTCCGTACTCATAAATGAAGTCATTTTGGACAGCGACACGGTCTCCAAATCACAACTTTGACTTCTTGTTTCTATAAAAATATTTATTGAAAAGTGATATATGTATACTTTTATGAAAGTATTTTTCAAGACAAATCTATTCATATAATTTTTACATTTTCAAACTAAAAAACTTGAGAGTTATTCATGATTTATATTCTCAAGGTTTGACTTAAACATTGTCCTAAACGACTTTCTTTACGAGTATGGAGGGAGTATATACATAAATATCCGTGGAGAAATAAGTTACTCGGTGCGAAATCAACAAGAGGCAGCAAAATAGCAAGGTGACCGTGTATCTCTACTATTATAAAAATTGAAGATATTTTTACCGGTACTTTTGGTACGTCATCCGTGTTTGAATCCGTTTTTAAGTTCAATCGCTTTTGGAAATACAGATCCATGTTTAAATCGGTTTTAATTTTGTTCGTTTTTAAAAATACAGAAGGAGTCGTATAAGAAATCTTTTTAAAAAACTTGCGTGCTAAATTGAGACGATTGGACCCTAATTGCGGCTCATGATTTTGTAAAAAGAATATCCAAGCGAATTCCCACGGTGAATTTTACCTTAGCTATACCGTACAATAATAATACGATTAAAATAGCATTCACCTGTTGCAACGCACGGGTATTAAGATAATCCTGTAAGCTATATCCAAAGGGCCAAGGCGTAGCCGAGCACGTACGTTAGGTATAGCAGCTGCCACGAAGAGACCGCCGTTGAGTTGAACGAAGAAAAGTCCTAGTCGATTATATTTACGTCATCTCGGCCTGGTCAAACTCTCCCGCGACCGTATAGTATGCGCCGCTGTCCCCGTGTGCATGTGCTAGCTATCACGATATATAGTACTTACTCGCGCATGATCGACCCACAAAAATCGTTTAAAATTTGGAGCACAAACTAATTCTTCTTATCGTTGTCCAATTTTGATATAGTTTCGTAACCAAGATTTGTTAAAAGGGGATGTTTCTAGTTTCATAAATCCTTATATCGAAGCCGTGATTATATTTTTTTATTTAAATCTACGGTTACTTCGATGTATATCATTTTGGATGAATCATTCTTTTATATATTTTCCTTGATGTCATGATTCAATGTACATTCAGTTTTATATATAGCAATAATTGCACTTCATAGGTTATAAATGTATATGATGTACGGATGGTTAAAATTAAATTTAAGTATAAGAAAAATCTAAAAGTTACTACTATTATCTAAACGATGCATGTGACTTCATACGTATCAAACGTTTTATTCTTTTTATTCTAACTATACATGATATATATACATACTACCTTCGTTCCAAAATACTTGTCATTTTTATTTATTTTTTACGTTTGATCATTCGTCTTATTTAAAAAATTATGTAATTATTATTTATTTTGCTTGTGACTTGCTTTATTATCAAAAGTATTTTAAGTATGACTTATTATTTTTATATTTAGGCGGTGTTTAGATCCAAGGGTGTAAAGTTTTGGCGTGTCACATCGGATATACGGACACACATTTGAAGTATTAAATGTAGTCTAATAACAAAAAAAATTACAGAATCCGCCTGTAAACTACAAGACGAATTTATTAAGCCTAATTAATCCATAATTAGCAAATGTTTACTGTAGCACCACATTATCAAATCATGGAGCAATTAGGCTTAAAAGATTCATCTCACAAATTAGTCGTAATCTGTGCAATTAATTATTTTTTAGCTTATATATAATACTTCATGCAGGTGTTAAACGTTCGATGTGACAGTGTGAAAAATTTTTAGGTGAGATTTAAGCAGGGCCTTACATAAATTTTTAAATAAGATAAACGGTCATACGTTACAAGCAAAATTAAGGTCAAAACGATATCTATTTTGAGGCGGAAGGAATAGATAGGAGCACACCATGCGTGTACGCACACTGTGTAGGAGATGAGTATCATACCTTAGCTACTACGGAGTACTACTCAACATATCGTACGGCACCGGTAGGAAATTATGGCCGGCGCAGTGTCTAGCTGGCTACATAATTTACTACAGAATTGGCTATTTTTCTAAATTTATAGTATTAGAATATCTCGTTATATCCACATAACGTATGGGGTATATACGGAACATTGGGAGTACTAGTAGCTAGGTAGGTCGGTAGGTGACTGATCTGATCCTGACCGTTGAATGTGATCAAGTGATCTGTTGAACCCTCTCTCCAATGATCACATTGCTGCACTACTATTAGTCACGTGTTTCACATGCATTTCTTTGAAAGAAAACAGTGCCTCATGTTTTTTGTTAGAAAATCTTTCATACAGTTGATTAGTTAGTTCGCTAATTTGTTGGGATTAGTCATCGTCATGTAACGACTTGCACAACAAACTCATTTCTAATTTGCTCTCTCTTTGTTTTGCCGCCGCCCACGCAATGTATATATCTACTGCAGATTCCTTCCATGCATGCATCTTAATTAACTTCTCCGAATTCATGGATTCCAAATGAATAATGAATAAGATGCTAAGCTAGGTTTACCAATTAATTGGCTAATTGGCAACCAAATGGCTAATCATCATCACCATCATGGCATCATCATCAAATTTTCTAAACGTTGCACCGGAAAATCAACCTAGACTGGAATTCCTTCCAATCCTTCGCTATAGCTAGCTAGCTACCACAACGATCCAAAAGTTTTGTCAAATATTTAGAACGGGGATAGCTAGGCAGTGTCGACGAAGATGTGATGTGATCTCTGAATATCTGAACCGTCGTCTGATCCACAAAAAGCTTCCCGGCTCCGGACGCTAGCTGCTCCATCCCATCAATTCTCTCCATTCTCGCTTGCATCCAGCCAAACCAAATTGACCGTGGACTGATCACATTTATACTGCTACATCATCCGCCGTTAATATATATTTTGAGAGACCATATCATTGATAGATACATGCATGCATCCTACTAATTCGCCCAGATCAACGGCCGGTCTCGAGACGTACTCGCCGGTAATTTGCCGGAAATTGTTATACGTTTTCCAAGGGAAGATGTCTTTTTTTATGCCATCTAAATAGTTATGAAACATTTTGATTAATTTTCTTTTCACGGGATAGATTAATATACGATATGTATCACTCTGTAAATATGCATGTTCAGAATTTCAACCCCTACATGTTATTGTAAAATGATAAATATGACTGTGAAAATGCGTAGACTAGTAGAGTTTTTTTTTTCATTTTGTTACAATGCAACTTGGTATTCATGTTTGTAAAGTAATATATCTCATATTAATATATCTTATAAAAAATTATATTTTTAAGTTATTTTGGTGGCTTACAAGAAACGATGGGATCGATATATTCCTTCGAGGGGAAAACAAGGAACATTTCCCAATTTGCCATTAATCTACTCTCACTCATCACAGTCATCATGCTAGTTGATCTGCACGCTGATCCGATCCGGCCGGAAATTTCGAACTTAATTAGCACGTGGATTAATTAGTTGGCAAAAGCTAAGTACAAGTCATTGTGTGGTCAATTGATCGACTGATCTGTTGCTCCCCGCTTCTGCGGCTTTCATTGGCTATAAATACGCAGATATGTGCTCACTGCCTAGCTACCAGTCTTGCATCTCTAACTATATATACACATACATGTAGCATCCTGCTCCATCTTAACTAGCTACTACTAGTGATGAGCAGAATCAACCTCATGCAGTAATATGCTGTGCTGATCGAATTAATTTACACATATATAGATAGATAGATAGATAGATCGTTCGACCAATCGAGCTAGCTTGAGCAAACTGATTGACCTGGTGAAGTGGTATAATTAACGAGCAGATCATGGAGGATTGCAGCAGCTGGATCCATGGCTACGCCAACGCTAACGCCACCGCCGGCAACAACGGCTTCATGTGCGGCTACGCTGCCAGGTAGGTGTTCAAACATCTTGATGATCACCGTGACACGATCGATCGATTGATCGCGACGACGACGATAATACCATCTGTAAATTAGTCGTCTCTGTTCTTGAGTGGTTTGGCTGATCAGTTAGTTAATTAGCTACTTCGTGTTTGCAGCTGCAGCCCAGTAGAGTTTCAGCAGCAGCAACAGCTGGTCGGCTCGCAGATTGAGCACCACCTCAACCAGGCAAGCTTGATTTGCAATTTATTCGATCAAGAAACAATGCATAAAATCAAAGAAATTTTAGGATTTAATTTGGTAGGTGTCGCGTTTTATTACGGCATGCAGATCAGCATGCAGATGGGGATGGATGACGAGTCGGCGGTGTACGACGGCGCCTCCATGGTGGACGTCCTCCTCATGGCTTCCTCGTCGCCGCACCACCACGCCGGCGCCGGCAGCTTCCAGTACTCCTCGCCGACGTCCTCCTCCGCCTCCTTCCGCTCCGCCTCCGTCTCGTGCAGCCCTGAGAGCTCGGCGGCGGCGACGACGCACTTCCTCGGACCGCCGGCGCCGTCCGCGGCGGCGGCGGGGTTCCATTACCCGGAGGTCTCCTCGCAGGCGCCGTTGCCACTACCCTTGCCGCCCTACGAGCCGCAGCACGGCCAATACACCACCGTCCTCTCGCCGCCGCCGCCGGCGCCAGAGTTGCCGGCGACTACTACGCCGGCGACCGGCGGCGCGTTCAGGCGGTACGCGCGGCACCTCCGCCCGAGGAGGCTGCCCAAGCCGGGAGGGTGCGGGCAGAGGATGTTCAAGACGGCCATGTCGGTGCTCACCAAGATGCACGTGGCGGCGACGTACAACCGCCAGTACTACTACCAGCAGGCGGCAGCCGCCGCCGCGTCGGCGTCGGCGGCCGAGGCGCCGCCGTCCGGCAACCAGCTGCAGCACATGATCTCGGAGCGGAAGCGGCGGGAGAAGCTCAACGACAGCTTCCTCGCCCTCAAGGCCGTCCTCCCTCCCGGCTCTAAGGTATACATACATACACGTATCAATACGTACATTTGTACGTATACACATGCATGATCATTCATCAACATTTTGTTCTTTTGATTAGTGATCTTGACTAGTAATATTTGCTTCAATCATTTCTTCCTTTTTAATGGTAGAAAGACAAGACATCGATACTGATCAGAGCAAGAGAGTACGTAAAATCTCTCGAGTCAAAGCTGTCAGAGCTGGAGGAGAAGAACCGGGAGCTAGAGGCGAGGCTAGCCAGCCGCCCCGCCGCCGCCGCCAAGAACGACAAAGGCGAGACGGCGGCGGCGCCAGCGCCGGAAGCCGGCGATGAGACGAAGCGAAAGGACCTAGTAGAGATCGAGGTGACGACGAGCGGCGGCGGCGCCGGAGCGGCGGATGCGGCGGCGGCGGCGGGAGGAGATCAAGAGACCTGCACGCTCAACGTAGACTTGCGCGGCGGCGGAGGCGGCGGAGGCATGAGCACGACGGACGTTGTGCTCCGGACGCTGCAGTGCCTGAGAGAGCAGATCGGCGACGGCGCCAGCCTCGTGGCGATGAGCACCAGCGCCGGCTCCGGCGGCCGCCCGCCTCGTGCAAACCTAACATTACAGCTCAAGGTGTAATTAATTAATAAAAAAGCATTCTACTAAAGAAGTTAAAGGAAAAATCTGTCTCACATCTCAGTGATCAGAAAAAAAAAAGAAGAAAAAGGGAGGTGCCATCAGTGCAAAATAGCATGCATGCATGCAAGCACATTGTTGACAGCATGATTGTACATTTTTCTCTCTTAAGATAATGGAAAACCTTACACATATTTCATACTAGTAGCAATTGATTCAGCTGGCATATGTGGACATGCACTGTTCTTGACAGCTTGATTAATTAGTCTTGACACTTCAGTTAATTAATTCACTCTGCTCTGCTGACTATCCTGCGAGCCGCGGAAAAGTCTGCATGATGACCGATAATGATGGAGGGCTAATAAACATGGCACTTCTGAAGTTAGTGATTTCAGGTCAACATTAAGAATCAAGCGTGCAAGCTGACTATTATAATTAGTTGTCGTACGATGACGTGCATCGTCAGCCATAATTAGCAGACACAAATATTATACTCTGAAAAGTAAAGGACCGTGATGTCAGACTGGTAAAGGAATTCTACACCACTGTAAAAATCCTCAGCAACGTTCGTACGTATACACGATCGCATCCATGAATCTTCAGGAGTTGAAATTTGAGAAATACGTAACGGCGACAGTTCCTTTACTCCCTTGTTCTATATTACGAGTCCTTCGGACCTTTTTTCGTTATTCAAATTCGTTATTTTAGGTTATGTATTTAATTTTAAAACAGAGAAGACATATCATTATAGTTTGGGCCCATGTGTCAGACATGTACTTACTAGATTATCTAATCCTACTTGCCTCCTTGTGCCCGCAACGCAAGCCCCCACCCAAGAAAATCAGAAAAAAGAAATTCACAAAATGACCTCGTGCTTTGTTTTTCAGAAAAGTCCTACTACCAACCCATTTCCAGTCATAGGGGCAAAGAGAAAAATTTAATCTTCATATGATCAAATCAACATGCAACGCACGGTTATGCTACAACAGGGAGTTAAAAATTGTAGTTTTTGTTAGTAAAAAATATATAGCTTTCTAATAAATTTGCTTGTTCTGGTTGCATCCTTTAAAATGTATAGCTAAAATTACAGAAAATGACGATTTTAACTTAAATAACCGCATACTTTTAAAATATACTCTTAATGGTCTATTCAACTTACAGATTATGGACTCTCACAGATAGTGGTGAAAATGCTACAGAATATTCTGATCATACCTGCTTTCTTTTCCCTTTTTCCGACCATGTTAGCATTATCTTGTTTTCATCCAGAATTTCGAAGAGGCAAGATGTAACTTTTGAAAAACAAATCACCAACATTTTCTTTAGAAATCTATTAAAATTAACTTTACTGCTTTCTAATATTAATTTTATTCATTTATGTCCTCAAATGTTTTTGTCATTAGGTCAGTTTCATCCCTATAAAGGAATTGGGCCCAACTTATTTAAGTCATGACATTGTTCGTGTTATGCTAGGTGATGCAGTGTTAGCGAGAGAAAATTGAGATTATGGCATTATCAAAGGTGGGTTTTGCCACAATGCCATTCGGCAGATTGGTTTCGTTGAATTGCCACTCTCAAACCGTGTGCCATTGCTGGAATGCATTCTCTCATGAAAATACCCTTGGACTTCTTACACAACTTGTTTTCTTACCATGTTAGTTTGCTCATCTGCAGAATGGTATTTTAACGAAACCCACTTTTGACAATAGCGTAGTCTCAATTTGCCCGTAGTCCGTCTAGGCTCATGTGAATTATTCATCGAAATTATATATAATTAAAAAATAAAAAAAATTATAAATATTGTTTATACGTCATGTTTGATACAACTCCACATCTTAAATTTGCGCTGGATTTAATGTTTGTATGTTAAAGTATAGCCGTTTAAAATTTTTATCTTATTTAAAATGGAAACAAACTGATTGATCTAAATGTTATCAACATAATAACGAATTTAGATCTATGGATTTGTGGAGCTACGAATATATATATACAGCTTAAAAAAAACTTTGAATCTGAAGCCGTGTTAAAAAGGGCCATTTAGTTATGATTGTTTGGTCTCTCAATTTTTTTCTAGGTCCGCCATTAACGATGACGGGATCAAGGTAAGAGGCCGGGACAGCCAAGGACGGCACCGTGGCATGCAATGAAAGGTCGTCGCCGGCGACACCTTTTGTCAGCGCCGCTGCGCAACCGCCGAGCGCTATATATAGCAAGCTAGCTAGCGAGCTAGTAGCTCCGGCGACACCGAGCTAATTAATAACCGACACATACCGCTGCTGCAAGTTTCGACGAGGCTTCATGCATGCGTGTTGTCTCACTCACCGACGACCTACGTACATGCCGTTCGTGCAGTTGGCCGGGTGCAGTCAAAACGAAGTAGTAATTGGTAGTATGGTAGCTGCGGTCGTAACATGGGAGCAGTATTTACTTGAATTATATGTACACTTATTGGGGTACGTTGAAATTTCAGCACGAATGGTACGTATAAATGATGATGATAGGGCGCGCTGACAGATGTTTTGAAAACCACCGTGGTATGTACGTTAGGCCTTGTTTAGTGCCAAAAATTTTTTTTCCCAAAAACATCACATCGAATTTTGGACACATGCATTGAGCATTAAATATAGATAAAATGAAAAACTAATTGCAAGGGGGGGAAATTTAGAGACGAATCTTTTGAACCTAATTAGTCCATGATTAGCCATAAGTGCTACAGTAACCCACATATACTAATGACAGATTAATTAGGCTCAAAAGATTCGTCTCGCCGTTTCTAGGCGAGTTATGAAATTAGTTTTTTCATTCGTGCCCGAAAACCTTTTCCGACATCCGGTCAAACGTATGATGTAACACAAAAAAAATTTTATTTCGTGAACTAAACAAGGCCTTAGTAGTTAGGGCCTAGCTAGGTTCGTACACGACTACAATAGTATATTCTCCTATCCATAGCCACAATTATTTTTAAGAATCTTAGCTGAGATTAATGTGTTTTCATGAAATCTGATATTACTTTGATGCATGTCTCTTAGAATTATTACGACAGACAATAGTACTCTATAAATATGTATATGGGATAAATTTTAGCTCATAACACGCCGATTAGCTCATGAAATGAACATATCCAAGCCATCATATCTTACAATTTTTTATTTTTTTTTAAACCCCATCACTTCTTTAGCTACTGCAGAAAGTCTCCTAATAAAATTATTTCCCTATGGAAAGTTTATGAATATAAACTTTTCTTTTGTAGAAAGTTTGTGTGTAGAGAATTTTAATATAATAGGCTTTTATCTAAATGGAGAGTTTAAAAAATTGGACAAAAAATATTGAACAAAAGGTATTCACGCTCCAATGGTGGCATGCTGATTTTTCAATCTGCGCATGGAGACGATAATTCTGAATAAATACACCCTAGTTATATGGTAGTTATTCAGTGGCGCACTAATTACGTAATGCGTGCTAGCCTTTGCCCTAGGTGATTGGGAGATTAGCAATGGAACCCGATCTATAGACGCTAAAAAAAACTAAAACTCTCTACTCATAAACTTTCTACAAAATAAAAATTTATGCTCAAACTTTCTACATGAAAAAAAAATGTACGATGAAAGTTTCTACAGTAATTAAAAATATTCTAGTGGAATTTTAAAAAAAATTGTAAGACTGTTAATATGATGAAACAACTCAGCAAATAGAAGTTATTATGATTTCATCTAATAAAGAATATTCTACTCCCTCCGTTTCACAATGTAAGTTATTCTAGCATTTTCCACATTCATATTGATGCTAATGAATCTATACATATATACCTATCTAGATTCATTAGTATCAATATAAATATGAGAAATGTTAGAATGACTTTCATTGTGAAACGGAGGAAGTATATGTGGAAACATGCGTGTACCATGGGCAAAACGATCTTGAAAAAATCCCACATGGCCCCACTCAAACAAACTAATTCATCCATCCCATAATATAAGATTTTTGAAAGACAAACATATTTATTTAAAAAAAAGGTAAAATTAAATAGAAGAATATTGTGATTGGATGAGAAGTGGAAGTAGCAGAAATTGAAAGGAAGAGAATGTTGATGGATAAGTGGTTATATTTTCGAACATCTGAAGTTTAAAAATTGTTATATTTTGAGATGAATGAAGTAGTTACTAAGATGGAGCTACACAGCATGTGCTAACCCTACCGCGTGACCCGCCCACATTCCCGATCTGTTTGCATGAATCGAATCACACAAACGTTCACACAATACGGTTTCTGCACTCGTTGGCCTCCTCCCCTCTTGTTTTGGTGCAATAAGTTAGCCTAGAGTACTACTCCTACAACTACAACAATAGCTTTACCAACACTGGATTGGGATGTTCATATCCAACACCTAGAGCTCTACTCCCTCCATCCCAGAAAGAATCATCCTGAAGTGGATGGATCACTACCTAATACAACAAATTTGTGGTAGTGTCCCATATATTTCTAAGTTGATTCTTTCTGAAACAGAGGGAGTTCTAAGTTGATTCTTTCTAGAACGGAGGGGGTATTGCATAGATTCCACAATTAGATCCTTGTTATGAGTCAACATTGATGTGTGTGTATTGGTATGCTTGTCTTAATTAGAGATTTTACTGTTATTGAGACAATAATTGTAGGAACTAAAATTTTACATTAAAAGTTTTGGAACCTCGAATTACCTAGTACATGAAATACTAAATTTTATACTACTACTAGAAAACATGACACCTCGGTATCATATTAAGATGATAAAATCACCCTAGTCTTAATAAATTATAAATTTCATAGACCAATTTTGGATGAAAGCATGTAACTGTTGACCAGATCTATAATTTTATAATTTTGTAGTGGACAACTTTTTTAACTTAAAAAGTTTAGATGCTCAAGTAATCGTCAAGTCGTTTGACCTTCAGACAAGGTTAATAAGTAAAAAAATATTTAGATGGTGAAACGGAATTATACTTTGCAATTTATCATTAAAATAAACTAAATATTCATAAAATTTCTAACAAAATAAAGTTTCAAAAGGAAAATACTCCGTAAAAAACAATTTCTTTTTCTTGGGGTATATGTGAATGCTACTAACATTGATATATATAGGTGAAACAGTAGATAGTCTTCGCGTGAAAAGAGCTCATGGATTGAAATCCTAGAAACTACGCGCGCGTGCCTTTATTCTCATTTCATGCCAAAAGTCATATGACTTGCTGCATAAACGACACTAATCGGCTTCGCACCTGCAATAATTAGCTTTCCCGTAGCAGTGTGTACCCGATTTTATGTCGTGATTTCACATTTCCTCTTTAATTCAAATATAGTCACATCCAACTCGTCACTCAATGCATATGCCAACCACAAAGTTAGCGGACTAGGGAACCGGATAGGATTTTGTAAGTCTCGCAAGAATCATCACGGTGAAAGAGATTGCAATGAGAAAAAAGAACATAGTGATTCCGATTGGGGAAATGTAATTCTAAAAAATAGCATATTATATGTATCGCGTCATATATCCGCTCGATCGCTCTCGCTAGCTCACGTCAGCTAAGCAGACAATTGAGCAAGACATTCTACAGAGAGCGAAGTGAGCATGAGTATAACTTAAATCATCATCACCACCTGCCCTGATTAAGATGTGTTTGAGCACTAATCATGATTCCAAACAACTCTCACCTACTAAAAAAAAGTTAATCTGAATGAGGATGTAACACATCCTAATATAATAAATTTAAACATTGTTTGTTATCCATATTCATTATATTAGGATGGGTCATATCTCTATCTAAATTAAGTTTTTTTTTAATGGAGTACTCAGCAATGATAGCTGAGTAGTTGAGTAGATGAATCAGCAATTGATATGAAATAATTCATGTTAATACAAGGAATTATAGCTGTCATGCCCGTGAGCAATCAAGAAGGATTTGCTGCTCTAGCTAGTGGCCAGAATGCGTGTCGTGTTTGATTTACCTACAATACTCTTGTATACATGTATGATAGAATCTCTCTCCAACCATATCTTTTTAAAAGGACAGATGCGTTAGAGACTTGTATTCCACGATTTTTATATTTTCAGCAGACGCCTTGCCTACCATGTTAATATTTTTAATGGTGCAGTAACAGACCCGTCTTCCAATTAATAATTTATCTTCTTTGCTATAGCAACGTAACGACCGTCAAATGTTCACTGCAGAGAGGGATGACCTCATCCTTCGTGCCGTCTGTATCAGGTGATCAATTTTATTAGGAAATCAGCTAAGCTGCCCCCAAAAGTAAATAAGATTAGCTTAAGGTGATAAATTAGTATATAGTAATCCCAAAGTAGCAAGTCAGCAAGTGGTTTTATTATTTTAAAGAAGGACGGAATCTTTCCGCTTCCCTTACTAGTTAAGATTTGCAACCAACCGGCAATGCGATGCGATTAGACCAGACCACTATTTTAACGTTTCATACACATCACCCTACAAGATCCCGACCATAGTGTTTTGACGACTTGACCTAGGTTTACATTTGCAATATCTTAATCCCCTCGAACTCCCAACGGTGCAACATTAGAAAAAAAGGTGCGCAGAAAGGAACTTACCAGGAACTGTCTCGATGCATGAATTTTGGCGGGGAAGCAGAAGCTGAACTGACGACTGTTCAAAGGTCCAAGGAAAATGAAGGCCTAATCCTGATCCATGTCCCCCCTGCACTGCGAGTGTCCTGCCACCATAAACCGGAGCCTGCAACAGCTGACCAGAAGCAAGGACAAGAATGCAGAGCAGAACGATCAAACTCTACATACCTGGACGTTGGATTCTTAGCTCTCGAGCTATGTGAAATACCCTTCTCATCTGTGGAAAATACACAACTAAAGGGGTGGACAAGATTGACCAGAGACTCTTCTTCATCATGCACTGCCGTCATATGCAATACAATGTTGATATCATCATATACGGCGTAAGACGAACATCTTCCATTGAAAGTTACAGCACATTAGTAGTCTCCTTTCAATCAGTAAACTGTTGTGAAAACTGGAAAGTATGCAGTTAAAATGAAGTTATGGCCCTTACCTGGGATAGCAACTCCATTGGCTCCTGATATTTCCACGAAACGGGAATTCCACCAAACAAGTAAATTTCATAATACTGCTTACTTGAGAATAGTAAGCAAGTCATAATCCTAAAGCATTGGTATTCTCTCCTTGACCTACATGTATTATACTGGTTTAACGAGACATAGAGAAGTCATATTGTGTCAGTCCACCATATATAGATGCAATTTCACATAGACTAGTCGATAGTATTACATTGAATAGACCATGGGGAAAAACAATATTCCAACCAGATGGCAAAACTCTTGCCCTGCCTCCAATCCGTCTAAAAGGAAAGGAAGAAATGTGCGCACGTTTTGGAAGTCAGTTGCTAAAAAATAAGGAGTCTACTACTCTATTCTGTACTGGTCAATTATGATGCATGAGAGGAAATTAGTTAACCAATCAGGCAGTGCGGTAACAAAATCCCAAGGTCATCCTAATTCCTAAGGGAAGAACTGAAAATTCATTAACCAATCAGCGAGTGAGGTAAGCCGGTAACAGATTTCAGGGCACGGTAGGTCCACGTCAACACTCTGTAATTCACTAATTTATGCCTCAATCTTCCATAGGTAAAAAGTGGTAGGCTAACCCCATAAGCCCCTCCAGGCCTCCACTACCAAAAAAAATAAACACACACACACACACACTGACACACCAACCCCCGGGAGAGAGAGAGATAGGTCGTTCTCAAAAGAACTCCAGACTTCATGAGCATTCTTACTATCAAAGCTTTGAAGATTAGGGAGTTTTGTCGTTGCTCGATCGACACCTATTAGACATCGTCACTTTGCTTCATTTTCTACTCGCAGATTATACATCATGGAAGGATCTCATTACACGAAAAAAAAAAGATACTTTCCCCTTGTCGCTTGAATGGTAAACTATATGAAAATGACAGTCAGAGAGGAACAATTGGTTCATCTGTTACCAAGATAATCGTATAGAAGGAAGAAAGTTGCTTGCTTAGAGTGGTGGTGACCTTGAGCAACTGCCACCTTTTGGTCAATAGGAGTGGCTCTAAATTAACAGGAATTTGCGTACAGTACTACAGTGGTGTATTAAAAAAGAACCCGCTTACATGCCTACTTAGACAAGCCAGCTTCTAGAAGTTTATTGCTTTAACTACATATGCTTTGGTCCCAACAATAGTATTACAGTGTACGTTTATTATGAAAAGTTGCTCCTTTGCATCCCTTGTCCATTCATTTGTGAGCATGTGATGCGGTAAGCATTTCATCTATATACATTAGCTTGGGAGGATCTCTGCACGATCCAGGCACATTGCCACCTTATCCAACTCCAACTCGGGAACACATTACTTTGGTTTGAACCGATGAACCCAATAAATCTCAGTTTTGGTTTTCTGTTTACTGCTCAAAGGCAAAGACCAAAATTAGTGTTGGCCATGAGAGCTATACGACTATCCATCGTAGCTCATTATAATGCGGATGGCAAATGTCATGTAACTGGTAGTAGTAGGACTACTAATTTGCCATATGTGGATGGCAAATCTGTACTGATTTTGCATGATATAGAGCAAAATAACCTCCATAATGTATTGTTAGTGGGACAAAGTAAGCAGCAGCAGATGCTCTGCAGAACAAGAAGATGGGGGCCACAATTGTTTCGAACGCTATGTGAACCAGTATAGAAAGCACATGGAGAAATTTTCATTGGCATAATGGCGTTTCTCAATGCAATGCAGTCTGTATCCCAAAAAAAGCCCATGGTGAGGAATTAATTCCGCAGTTCAGTATAGAGTAGCACATTTCCAAATGCAACGTGTGTGCCGGGTCAGAGCAGCACATTTCCTAAAGCATAAGCTTAAACGAGTGGATGCAAAATGTGTGTAGCACCAGAAGAACTCCTGCAACGTAGATTGTCCAGTCTCCACTCTAAACATCTCCAATCCAACACCCAAACACCCTAGGGAAAGTCTCTAATTACTTTGGTCCGATAGCATCCTGTGAAGGTTACAGCGTAACCTACTAATCAGGTCCCCAAATTTCAGAGAACCTACTAATCACATCCCCAAATTTTAGAGAAGTACAGAAACGAATTAATGCATCAATCTACTGTCTAGAACTCAAATCACGCGACAGGCATCACATCACATTGATCCGATCAACGATCGATCGGAACGCGAAGCGCGCGCGCGCGCGCACACCCATCGGAATCTCCGAGCACCCAAACGCGCGGTAGATCCCGCAACCGAGCCACCAGAAAAAACCCTAGGGTGTTCGCGGCGGATTGTACCTTGAGCGGAGCCAGCCCGAGAGCCCGCCATCGCGGCGGCCTCGGGGAAGACGAAGCGCGGGTGGAGGAGGCCGTTCATCCATCGGCAGAATGCCACTCCCCTCGGGCCAGAACTCCGGCGTGCTCTGCTCGCCACCCCCAACCGCCGCGGCCGCCATCGCCGCCGGGACCGGGAGCGCGAGCGCCCGAGAAGAAGTGTGGGTTGGGCGCGGGTTGCCGAGGCGGCGGCGCGGCGTGAGTTGGGCCGAGATGTGCCCTCTTGGGCCCAGCATATATATGGGCCTCGAGTCAGGACCGTCTAAGAAAGACTATGGGCCTTACTCTCGTGGCCCATCCAACTCGACCGCATTTTACAAAAAAAAAAAAAAAAAAAAAAAAGAGCAAATTTCAGCTAACCTCACGTTTTTGCATAAAATCCTACTTCCTCCGTTTCACAATGTAAGTCATTATAACATTTCCCACATTCATAATGATATTAATAAATCTAGATCAATATAAATGTGGAAAATGCTAAAATAACTTACATTATGAAACGGGGAGTACGTATTATAATCAGTGACACGTAACATGTGATTCTAAAGTTTCACAAAATCCTACGACTATATATTTGGTAAACATTTACTTAAAATTTCAAAACATAGAATGCATATAAAACTTTGAGTGGTCGATTTCTTGATTAAGATTATCAGTTTAACTCTTCACTACTTTGAAAAATATTGTTTTAGATATGTTGAAATCAATTGCATTTTTTTTAAAAAAGTAAGGTTTTATTAAACATTTAGACATAAAACATGTAGTTATGTACCCCAAGTCATAATACATGACTTCCACGTAGAAGTTAACTGCGAGACAAGATCGTTGTTATTATGGAGCACAAAGAAATCACACACAGGTAACAGGGCATTGATTCTCAACTCCTGAATCAAGTCTAGTTTTTACTTTCTCTCTACCAATTTGGTACATGAAAACAAGGGGAAAAGGCTGCATAACGTTGACAAAAGTTGGATAAACAAGAGGGATTCGCTGCAATTCACAGCCCTGGATCATCGCTGGATCGGATCCAAGACTTCCTGTGGAGCCAGCAGCGCGTGAAACACGCCCAGTCGCCATCTGAAATGAAAAAGCTCTTCCGGCCCCAGACCGAACTTAACAATGCTCACTTGACACGGCTCGAATAAACAATGCAGTGTGACAGCACAGTTCTGCGTGAATCACACACTCAGATCCTGCAAAAACGAATGGGAAGTATCTCAGTTTTCATACAAGAGCTGCATAAAAAAATGAACTGGAAAAAATGGAAATAGCAGATAAAAGCAAAATTGCAGGGCATGAGGTACTTCAGGATTCCTGATTGTTTCTGTTTCAGTGACCTTTCAAGTTAACTTATTAGGTGGATCGTGCGCAACTAAACAAGACATGTTGTTGCTGTCTTGCTGAGTATATCATCTGGTACAGTGGTGAACTCAAATTCCCAATTTTCTACACATTTACGAATGGTTAATTTTCTACAAAGAAGATTTGCAATTGTCGATGTAAAAATTTCAAGACTAAACATCATGAAGTTTCCAGGTAAAAGATTGACCTAACACTCAAATACAAGGGAAACATACAAGAAATACATGCACACGTAAAGCATCGTATGAAGAAACAACTGACACTGAAAAGGGAAGCTGTAAATTGCCATTATGATACTGTACGAAATGAGATGGTAGTGGTTAGACAAACAACCAAATAGATGACAAAGTAAGGAGTACAAAATAATTTGCATTTGCAGTCAACAGTTTTAGAAATAATTTAAGAAGCTCCCTCTAAGAAAGAAAAAAAATATAGAGAAGCGGTTGATAAGTCCAGGTCCAGGAATAGTGTATCTGCCGGGAACAAAGAAAATGGAACCAGAACAAATTGCATCAAATCTTCTGAAAACTACATTTGAATTCAGCTCGTTATATGTATCTGTGTTTTCATTATCTAGTTCACATTTGACGCACAAATTCAATGCCTCGATTGACTGCGTCAGCAAACTAATAAGTGAGTTCGATTAAATTGTTGGTTAGCTGGACCTAATTCCAAGAGAAGTGGTGAATGGGTGGCCTCCCACAACTTCCCAAACTACATATCTCATAAAAACTACAAGGACCTGTTGATCCATAGATTTCCATCAAACATATCAGTATTTTGCTCCTTCATGATATCCATGTCTTTTGGTTGCCATTAATAATTTGGCATCAATGACAACCAGACAAACACCAAAACAATCGACAACCAGCAGTGCAGTGTTATATCAGGCAGTAATGAGATGGCATGACTACTACGATTCTAAAAATCCCTCCGTTTAACCTGACTGGCTGACTATAATGAATGCTTGATATCACAACTCACTTGTACAGTTGTACTTGGATTACTATTTCACCCAGATCTTATTGAAATTTTCTGCATTCCTAAAAGTTTTTCAGATGACAAATTCAGATGTTTCTTTCCTTTGTTGCTACAAGCCATTGATAAATCAGGTAAGTAGCATGACAAATCATGTAAATCAGGTAATGTGTGATTTTTTTTTAGATAATGTATGAATACAAGAGTAAGTTCCCAGTATCCATGGAGCAAGCACAAGTTAAACATGTACTAGCAATTATTATGATCAAATTGAGATCCAAAAACAGCGCCTTAGCTGCTCTATCTACTACTACACAATTAAAGTCTTGCAAATCATTTTAGCAAAGAAGCGTAAAACTGATTGTGTCCACATTAAACTGTAATGATCACAATACAAAAGAAGAGATTAACAAATTGTACACAATTCAGCGGTAAAAACAGAAATTCATACACAATACTGACATTTGTAGGAATGGACCAAGAATGAAGAATCGGAAGGCAACCTCGAACTAGTGAGCCGGCTGCGGGGGCACCGGCGTGTACCAGCGGCCGACCTCATCATCGACGTTCTCCTCCGCCTTGTGCAGCGCGGCGTGCAGCACAACGAGCAGGACCCCGATGAGCAGCGAGGAGACGATGTTGGCGGTGGCGCCGGTGAGCAGGAGGAGGACGAGCGTGACGGCGGCGAGGGCGGCGAGCACGGCGCCGTCCCCGACGACGCGGCCGAAGAGCACGATCGGCTCGTCGCGTAGGAAGTAGAGGACGAGCCATGCGACCATGCAGACGAGGAACACGATGAGGGAGGCCGGGTGCCACAGGAGGGAGAGGAAGACGACGGCGAGGACCACGATGGCGTAGTTCATGGCGTAGTGGGCGAGGTTGGCGCGCACCCGGAGGTAGGCGTCGGCGAGGCTCGGCGGCAGGCCCAGGGCGTGCGGGTCCGCGAGCTCCCGCCACGGCCGCCGCGTGGCCAGCGCCGTCGCGCCCCGGGCCTTGGCGCGGGAGAAGAAGTCGAGCGGGGAGGCCCCGCCGCCGCCACCGAGTGGGAGCGGCGGCGGCGCGGCCCCCGAGGAGGAGGAGGAGGAGGAGGTGGGGATTGTGCCGTACTTCGACATGGGAGATGGTCGGCGGCGGCGGCGGGGGGTCGGATCCGGGAGGGGAAGGGGAAGGGGGGGATCGGGAGGAAGAAGATGAATGGGGGAAGGAGGAGGGGGATCGTGGGGAGATGAGCCGTACTAACTGGAGGGCGTCCAGTGGCACGACAAGGGAACGTGACTCTCGAGGGGGTTCCGGATGGCAACCGTCACCCGTTCTTTTTTCAACTTTGTGTCCGCCAAAAAAATACTAATTTGTATACTTCAATTTTATTTTTTTTTCTCATTACATGACGGACACATACGCATACGCATCACTATACACGCACACTCACAAATGTGTCGAATAACCCATGATCTAAGAAACATATCTCTAATCTTAATATACACCTATTGAAAACTCACCTACATGTATATAATATTTAGGGAAAATTATAACCATACCATTATAATTTTGCAAAATTTGAGATATGCCATCCTGACCCACATGTCATTGAATCATGTGGGTCCTACATATCATTGAGATACCGATAGCATATCTCAAACTTTAAAAAATTATAATGGCAAATTATAATATTTATGGTACTGAGATTTGAACCTTGGTGCGTTTCAGCAAAACATCTCCAATTATTTGAATATAATGTAGAAACTTGTCATAATTTTGACAAACATATTTTGATGTCCTGCGAATATGTGATATTTTGCACTTTATTTATTAGGTGTGATCTAATGTATACTGACATTCACAATATTACACCAAATTATGGGAATCCAATACACAAAATGCTATATTGGTCTAAATTTTGTTTTCCCTTGGCTTTTAACTTTATCTGTCTTTGTACTCTATTTCGTTCCTATAAAATCGGTTACTATCCCATCTCTCGGATATGCAGATAGTTCACTCCATTTGTCGCGAGATTGTCCATGTAACCACTATACTCACATTACGCCAAAGTTGTATGTGCATGCACGTAGAGCTAGTAACTAGAATGTTAATAAAGAATAAAGTTGAAAGAGGAGAAAGCTACAACAGAGATAGATATGACCGTCCGAACAAGATGGCGCCATCCTTACCGTTGCTAGGTACCATAAAGTTGCTGCAGCAAACGCCGCCACCTACGTCGTGTCCCCAGTTTGCGCTTCTAGCTCCAATATCTCGGTCTTCTTGTCCTCCCTTCGCAGCTTCTTTGTCAACTTACTCTCGTCCATGCCACCGCTTATCACTAGCTAGCTAGCAGCAGACAATTCACGGCATTGATTCTATGTCGTCTTATGCGTAATGCACTCAACAACGTCGCAAGATCCAGAAGTACTCACGGTGGGAGGACGAGGGAAGCCACAACCATTGCGCTAAGGGAGGACGAAGGAACGCCAATACCGACATTGCTCAAGCTCATTATCATCATCTCCGGGTGGGAGAATCAGCGCATATAACCATCCCCATCTCTTCTTCCTCCTCTTTTCAGCTTCGACCTGATACCCTAGGTATCAACTAATATTATTTAGGTATGGTATTGATAAGGAAATAGCTATGCGTCCGACGGATTTGTACGACATGCATCCGATTGCGGCTTGCATTGGTTCGCTGGAGAGAAGCCAAAGATGGTGATTGATGCACATGGTATGGTCGGACGCGGGTCGTACGAATCCGTCGTACGCATATCAGTGCTGTATTGATAATAAGATATTATATAGTTGATATATGTGACGAGTATCTACGAGTATCACCAATTTCTGAACTATATTTGACGTGTTCCTCCAATTTCCAACCAAAAAAACCAACCTTTATGTCGGCATGTCGCTATCCTATGGGCTTTGAGCCCACAAGAAAATAGATGCGACTGATCTTGGGCCAACACATAGCCCATACTCCAAGCCCACGCTACTGGTGGTAGGTACACGAGTAAAACAAAACGTGTTCTTGCCTGCGTATATACGGTGTACGTACACACGTCTAGTACACGATCACACAGTCACACGCACAGATCCACACGATTCCAAACTCCCAACTCTCGACTAGAACCGACTCCAATGGCGGCGGCGGCGGCTGCTGCTCCGCCCTTCGCCGCCGGCGACTCGCCGCCCCCGACCGCCTTGCTCCTCCCCCGCACCACCACCACCACCGCCGGCGCCGCCCCCGCGCCCCGGCGTTCCTCCGCCTCCTCCCGCCTCCACCTCCTCCTCACCGCCGCGCTCGCCGTCGCGACCTCCTACCTCCTCCTCATCCTCCCCCGCACGCCCCTCTCCGCCGCGCCGGCGCCTGCGGCCGCCGCGCGGGCGCAGGTGAAGCTCGAGAAGCCGGTGGTGATCCTCATCTCCTCCGACGGGTTCCGCTTCGGGTACCAGCACAAGGCCGCGACCCCGCACATCCACCGCCTCATCGGCAATGGCACCTCCGCCGCCACGGGCCTCGTCCCCATCTTCCCCACGCTCACGTTCCCCAATCACTACTCCATCGCCACCGGCCTCTACCCTTCCTCCCACGGCATCATCAACAACTACTTCCCCGACCCAATCTCCGGCGACTACTTCACCATGTCCTCGCATGAACCCAAGTGGTGGCTCGGGGAGCCCCTGTGGGTCACCGCCGCCGACCAGGGTATCCAGGCCGCCACCTACTTCTGGCCCGGCTCGGAGGTGAAGAAAGGCAGCTGGGATTGTCCCGACAAGTATTGCCGCCACTACAATGGCTCGGTACCATTCGAGGAGAGGGTCGATGCGATCCTTGGTTACTTTGATCTCCCATCTGATGAAATGCCGCAGTTCCTGACGCTTTATTTTGAAGATCCAGATCACCAGGGGCATCAGGTGGGTCCTGATGACCCGGCCATCACGGAGGCGGTGGTGCGGATCGATGAGATGATTGGGAGGCTCATTGCTGGTCTGGAAGAAAGAGGAGTGTTTGAGGATGTCAATGTTATATTGGTTGGTGACCATGGGATGGTTGGGACTTGCGACAAGAAGCTGGTGTTTCTCGACGAATTGGCTCCATGGATTAAGTTGGAGGAAGATTGGGTTTTATCAATGACCCCGTTGCTGGCCATCAGGCCGCCAGATGACATGTCGCTGCCAGATGTTGTGGCCAAGATGAATGAAGGGCTTGGGTCTGGGAAGGTGGAGAATGGTGAATATCTAAGAATGTACTTAAAGGAGGATTTGCCTTCTCGACTTCACTACGCAGATAGTTATAGAATCCCACCGATAATTGGGTTGCCAGAGGAAGGGTATAAAGTGGAGATGAAGCGATCGGACAAAAATGAATGTGGAGGAGCACATGGTTATGACAATGCCTTCTTCTCAATGAGAACCATATTTATCGCGCATGGTCCTCGTTTTGAAGGTGGTAGAGTCGTGCCATCCTTTGAGAACGTGGAGATATACAACGTTATTGCTTCCATTCTCAATTTGGAGCCAGCTCCAAACAATGGTTCATCTTCTTTTCCTGACACAATTCTTTTGCCGAGTGAATGATCACATATACATGTGACTGCTGTGGTTTTGGATGAGAAAGGTCTTGCTGTTGGTATCCTCCTTTAGTCGTAATTGCACTTGTACACTTATCATATTAGATTCGTGTCACTAGTGGCTATTCACTGCCTGAATGCAAATGCTGCTAGTAGAGAGTATCTTTGTCCTTATGGACAACATTTGCTGTTGTTATCATGTCTTATCCTTAGCGGTTTTCTTATGCTTAAATTTTCATGCAAGTTCAATTAAGCTCGCATTCTCTGCTTAAAATGATGTCCATCCTGTTGATAAGAGATTAACCAGTCCTAGTTCTATATTTAATTTCAGCCAACCTTTTACCCACTGATAATAATTTGATTTATGTATCTCCTGTTACCCTGAATTATTCATAGTCACTGTTAGTTTCTTCTGATCTTCTGGTGATCTAGGTGTACTCATTCCAACATATGGAACTGTTGGGAATCATAATAGACGAAGTGGTGTTTTTACTTTCCTGGAGGATCTTTTCATGGCTTTATCAATAAATTGTGTAGCAACGTAACAATATGCACATGAGCATTAACAGGCCTTTATTTCTCTGGTATTAGTATTACATCTGTTATCAGTTCTTTGTTGCTTTGTTCTTCCTTGTTATTCACTTCTGTCACCACTTTGCTCCTTGCCAGTAAATCAAAGCAGTTGCTATATTATGTTTGAGTATTTTGGAAAAGGCCAACAATTAAACATAGATTTCACTCTTCCTTTTTTTTTTGGTATGAGCAAATAGGATATCTGATTGGGAAGACTATTTCGTTGGCCCCTTTTTAACTCTTGAATCAGAAAAAAAAAATCAGGTCTATGAATATTCCGTTCCATTCCCAGAAGAAAAATATGATGATACCAACTTCTTAAAAGCATAGTTTAGAGTTTGGAGGGCTGCAAATTGCATAGTGTAAATATGTCGTGTCCATAAATAGTTTCCTTGAACACATCAATAACATCATTGTTACTTACTTACTTTTGCATGCCTCTCTGTGTATGGTTAAAATAACCAACTAAACATAAAACATTGTTGGCCATTTTCCTATCTGAAAAGAGCCATCGTTTTGTTTGTTTGCCAACTTTTTTGTGCATTCATACATGTGTCTCTATAAGCTTCCTTTTCTTTTGTCTCATACCTATTTCATTATATTATTTGTTCTATCTGTTGAATCCAGGCTGATATGTTCTACCTTATTTTCACCTGTTGGTGGTCTTAGGTTCTTTATTTTATTGATACAGAGGTTCAACCTCTTGAAAGGTGAAACTTGCTAACTGCTCCCATGCCGTTCTGAGAATGCTTGTTAGCTTTCATCGAATACTATTATGTTACATTCTAAAGCCTTTTTTTTTGTTTAAATTGCAACCATGGTCCTTTGTTGAATTTCCATAGATTTGTAATGTTTTTTTCTCCTCTAAAACTATAGTTGATGCTTGGTACTATAACTTTGAATTGGTTGCTTTGCCGTCTGTTTGGGCACATGGTCTGCACAGTACTTTCTTCTACTTCATTTTATGGTTCTTGGGAAGTACCAAGAGATATTGGTACATCTGACTGTAATTTTTATGTGATATCACACAGCGCCTCCTAGTGTTGAGGAACCACAGATGAACTCTATGAGGTATGGCAAGTTAGCTCCTACTGTTGTTGTATTGAGATGTACTACAAATTAACACTACAAGCTATAGTAGGTATCTTCTCAAGGACCACAAAAAAAAACTTCACTTCTTCAGTTCTTAAAATGTCATGGATGTGCTTAGGATTTCATTCTTTTTATTTAGATCAAAGATTGGCAACTCCTGGATTTTCTCCTCCCTGAACAATAAAATGAAACTGCAAAGTCTGCTGGGCAATCTGTAATTTTTTTTGCAATATGGGATCAGGCAATGCCCCGTCGTGTTATTTCCTGAGGGATGTTGAAAACTTAGTACATTTGAGCTACTAAAAGAGTTGCAAATTATAACTTGGTTCATTTGAATTAACTCATCTTTTAGTGGGTGCAAGTTGGGTTTGTGGGTGTATCTACCTTGTCATTGCAAGAAATCGTCCAAGCATGTAGCACAGCAACCCTTTGAAACACTTGACTTACCTATTATAATGGCAAGGATCTGCACATTTACTATTCATGAATACAGTTTCTTGTCTCTCCATATCTTATTGAGTTGGTTGTCTTATGTGCAATTGCTACATTAGCTGGGTTGTATATGCAATTTTGTCAAGAAAGATGATCTAAGCATTTGGTTGTATTTAGTGTACAGATAGCGCATATTGAAAAACACAACCAAACCTCAGTACCTCCGTCATGAAAACTCTGACAACCTTGATAGTTTCTTTTTGCTATTAGTTCTGCTAGAGCTCATTTTTATGTGATTTTTGGAACTAAATACACAATATATTGTTGTTTGTTGATTTGAGTTTTTCAAAAGTTAATTGTCATGGTAGATTCTGCAGAGGTTGGTGCAATCATAAATCTTGTTCTGGCTCTTCTGATTATCCTGGGTTAGGTTCTGTATTCAAGAACACTGCCAGTTAGAGCTTAGAGGGCAAAATTACTTCATTGCAGGTAGGTAAATGCCTTCATATTCTGCACTGCACATGTTTGTTTGATACTGTAGACATTTCATGAATTAGTACTTCATAATTATTATCCAAAAATCTTTAAGTTTCAAGCAATAGAATGTCCTGAATGGTGAGGCTGTTTCTAATTCTTTTCATTATTGAAATTTTCTTGATGTACTTCTGATATTTTCCATCCTTTTAGGTTTAAAGGAAAGTAGAAAAGACAGAAAAATGTGCCAGGCCTGACTGAATAGATTCCTGATTTCCTGTAAACTAAATCACATGGTTAGCCGAAGTGATCTTGATGAGGTAATCTGTATAGTATTTTCTTTAGTATTCAGTCAGCAAGATCAGTTTATGGGGATGGAACAGTAACACTAGTTCTTGCCCCATTTGATATAAAGATTGTATTAGTTCATAACTTTGCATGTTAAATAGTTACTGTCTTTCTAAAAGCAGCATAACTTTGAGAAATCAGAAATGGTATAGATAAATAGCCTTGGAGAGAACATGTTTATCTTGTTTTTTACTGTACCTCATTATTACTGTACGTAGTAGCTGCTGATAATCACCCAGCCTCACTGATAAATGCAACCCGACAGGAGCACAATGGTCATACAATCTAGTGGGCCTTTCAGCGTAGTTGGGTGATGTCCTGCAAGCAGGGGGGCCATAAGTTGGTCTCTGAAACTATGCCATGAACAGATGGAGATAAATGTGGCAATGAACACTAGCAAACGTGGCCTTATTCTAAGAATCGGCTTGCAGGGACCGGTAACACACGGTAACAGTGCAACTGTAGGGGCTATAAAGAGTGAGGGTCCAGTTGCCACCCAATTTCTTAGTTTTAATAGGTTCTTTTATTGGTTCGGTGATGCAGGCAGTCGATATATTTGTTGTCCACTAACTTGCAAGCTTTAATTGCTTTGGTTCATATTAGTTGTTTGTTCATGATTATGGTGTGTGACCTTAAAGATGCTGCTGTATGAACTAGATCTGTCAAACAGAAGTGTAGGGACTTTCTATACTGTTGTCACAGCTCCGTTGTTTGGAAAAATCTATGTTGAGTAGTGCTCTTCCTGTTTTATCTTTTGCTATTCGATCATATGGCTCTATTCATGATTGACCTGCATGATTTGCCAGGATAAACAAGTGGTACACTGGTGCATGCATCGTATTTTCTCTTACGTATTTGTATTTTATGTTAATTGAGAATATCTAGCTAGTTCCTATGCTATGCACTTCTGCATATCACTTGGCTCATTGGCTGTGCAGAGCAATTGTTCATCTTTTGTCTTTTACCATTGCTCACTGTTGAAGTGTTCCCTCCATCATTTGCAGAGTTCTGTGATAATGTGGCGGTCTGCCAGGAGGAACAGGTGTACTGCAATCAGCTGCAGGAACTACCAGCCGATTATTCTGTAGGCAATAATTCCCAGAACTGAAGCCTGAGCATGCCGAACCTACTGTTTCTCTATAGATCCCTTGGTAAGTACTATTGTCTGTTGATTCACTCGAACAATAAATTTACCTCAGCCATCCCACACTTTTTCCCCACCATTTCTGTTCCGCATAGATTTCACATCCATTATTCAGAGTTGCACAAACCACTATCACATATCTTCACCTTTACCGTTCGGGAGCACTCCCATGGTAACAAGAGAATACTCAAGCTTGGCAGTGCACAATGGTGCAAGACTGCAGGATAATCTGTATACACTCATTCCAAGGACCAAAAGTGAGCCTGTACTTTTCTTCTGTTACCCCCATACAGGGATCCTTTGCTCCTGGCTTTGTTCAATCAACTTCCTAGCCCATTCTCCTCCTGTTCATGTGTCTTGCGCCCACACTCGTAAAGCCCTAAACTGCACTTCGCCAGTGTCCTCGTCAGTCGTCAGCTGCATGCAATAGGAGCACGGGCCCTGGGCAAGGTCACTATTGAGATCCCTTTTGGCTTGCTGATGGGTACTGCTACCAAGAAATATTGTTCTAACCTTTGTCCTTGTTGCACTCTTGCCTCATTGATTCCTTTTGTTCCTTCCTTTATGATCCCAATGTGATGCTTCTCTGTGCGTACGCTAGGGCCTGCTTTGTTTTTGCATGTGACTTTCCTTCTTTCTTCCACTAACACTGCCCAGGATTGAGCACTCGGTCATCATCTAATCGGTATTTCAAGCTTCAAAGTGTTTTGATGCCTAGCTAGCTTCTTTTGTTTGTTAGGGTTAGGGTGAGAAGAATGTTCGAATGATTGTGGGGATATAATCAAGCTGCTTTTCCTGTCACCTTAATCATGCAATTTCTGGTAAATCCTAATGATTGGTGTCCATCTATCCATGAGTGGGCAGTCTGAGCCACATCCACCCTACCACCCCATATAAGTGCTAATATGTGCAGGAAACAAAATTTCCTGAATTATTTTCGTGCAATGAGTGATGCATATGTTGAATTTAAATGCCTAAACTATAATCAATTGTGATATATTTTTCTAAAGAGTTGTTCTTATGCAGAACTATGGCTCTTCATATCTGTACTCTCAGCAGCCTGCTTCATATTCAGGTCAGGAGTCTTACTCTCTTTTTTCTCAGTTACAGGTCTTTGTAGTAAAAGTTGCAGGCTCCAATAAAAATGAATTTGTAGGTAAAACTTTTTTATATGTGTTCTTGGTGACTTAAAAGCCAATGCTAAAAAAGAAACTACATTGAAAATATCTCAAAATTAAATTTGAAAATTTAAATTTTGGCTTATTCTTTGGCTGTTTAGGCCATCCGATG